TAGAACTGCTCCACAAAATTTCGATATAGGTACTTGACACGCTTACCAATTAATAATTACTAATTACTCCCACAATTAAAAGTAAAAAAATTTGTCTGTATAATTATTATTACTGTTATGTAGTAATCTTTGCCGCCTATATTTTATTCGATTCTATCCGAAAGCTCACTTGTGTTTGAGGGCTCATATACAGTATGGAGTATCGCGTTATTTTCCAGCGAGCTTTGTTTCATCACACTGGTTACTTAAAGTAAGTGTAAAAGTTTGATAAAATAAATCAGTAGTTTGTATATAAAAATAATTCGCAATCAATTTCTTTATCGGAAGTCTTTTCTATTAGATAGACAAATTCAAACAAAAAAACGATCGTACTCTTTTGAATCATTTGGACATATAGAACACATCAGGACAAAACACTTTCTCGTATAGAAAACGACAAGTTTATTACATTTCTTACTAATTGACTTGATACACATCAACACTAAATTTTAATTTTTGATTTTTATACGCCGACTCAAATTGTAATCTTTGATTTTGTTTGACGTATATATTTATTACGTCACCGAGCTATAACACCTATTATGTAAACTACGTGTCAACCTTATATAGTATTTCCGGTTTTCATAATGTAAATGTAAGTTTAATTTTAATTTGTTTATTTACACATAATGTATTAATTTACAAGACGACTGAAAAAGACCAAGTCAGATTGAAACGTCTTGTCGCGAATTATTGTAGAATTGAAAATATAATATCTTATACCAACATCCAAAATTTGTCTATTGAGCTGAATTAAACATTTCTGAACGTATGTGCTATTTTTTAATTTAAACTTTAAATATAACACATATTAAATAAAATAAACACACGTGTACAGTGTTAAAAGTAGGTGATGCAGTGCCCATACAGTTCACAAATTACTAATTTTTAGTTTAATTTGATATTAAAAAATTCTGATAAACTGTTAAATACTCTCATAAAATGGAAGTGTTAATTATTATTTATTGCCTTTGTAATTTTATTAGCCTCACTAAATGATATCGCATAAACATGTAATTATTATAGTTCAATACCAAAAAGTCGGTATGTGATTGGAACTTTCTGATTCGATCTTGAATTTAGTTATGTCAATGTCCAAAATATATTAAACTGTTGTTTGACGCAACAGAGTTTATCACAGACAAATGTCATTAATTAATAAGCTGACTTATTAATTCAATAATGTAAAAAGATACAAAACAGAGATAGATTTGACAAAATTTACCTTTCAGGGAACCAGCAATTATGACGAAAAGTACAACAGATAGATTCACTAAAGTGAATATATTATTCGCCATCGAAGATTCCTTGGCTCCAAAAGCAAGAGCGACTAAGAAAAGAATTGTATATTACTTCAGCTGTTTTTATCAAGCAATCGTGTAACAAATTAACGGATTAATAATGCAGAGTTTGTGCGTGTTTATACTACGAAAAGAGACATGCGCAATTTTAATCAGCTCTATCGCAGGACTATTTTATCAATAAAACTTACGAGATTCGATTAGGTTGAAATATAAAATTCTCTTATCACCTGAAAATATCAGCGTGACGCCGAGTGCAAAAAAGTCTGGATATGACGATAGACTACTGATGTTGATAGGCATCACCGATTCAAAGAAGTGTTTCATACTATCGTCGAAGAGTACATCAACATACGTGCTGAGAGCACGCACCACACTAGCCGAGCCGATCACATATTCCAGAATCAAGGTCCAACCCATGAGAAATGCTATAAATTCACCTATTGTCACGTAGCTGTAAATATACGCAGATCCGGCACGGGGCACCCGCGCGCCGAATTCGGCGTAACAGAGACCTGAGAAGAAGAAATGAAAATTCAGAAATAATGCTACAAAAACGTGCGTTTTCACAATTTTTTTTTTTCAAATATACGTTCGTTTTTGTTATAAATTTTTGCTCTTTGCCGCAGATTACATTGCGCGTTAAATTATAACAGAATAATTGGCTATTAAGTTGTGTATAGGGTAGAGCATTTAAAACAAATCACCGAAATTTGAAAACTTTTATCTGACAAAATGTTTCAAACGAAAAAGTTGTATGGGCTACAGAGAAATAAATAATGAAGAAAACAATTTTCAAATTAATTGTTTTCTTTTTTTAAATCACATGAAGGTTATTATCATTTTCTTTTAATAGAATTATATCTCTTTCACATAATATCCCTTATAGAAAAGTATTACTGAACTACCGGCCAAAATATTACTGGCAGTAATTTACAGTAATTTATTACTGAATATCTTTCAGTAGTTTCAGTAATACTTAGAAAAATATTACTGAAACTACTGAAAGATATT